GTGGTGGAGGGGAGTCCCCATTACCTGTAAAGCGCTTTGAGTGGAGTGTCCAGAAAAGCGCTATATAAGTGTAAGCAATTATTATTATTGTAGGGTGTAGGGTAAACACGTAGATAAGTCCGGGTTACCATGTATACACAATACATACTTGGATCAGAAGTCTTATTAAATACATAGGACGTACAGAATGAACGACTATACCAATTAATTAATTAATTTTCCTGAACGCGCCTGTGTGTTTTTTTTTCCATTCGCACGTGTTCGTCGCCCTTCCTCGCGCGACACCTGGCGGTGAGCGGCGGGCTCTCGCGCGGCCCGGCTCTCGCGACTCGAGGCCGTTGATTTTGAAAAAAAATATATAAAATAAAAATTCTGTCCGCTTTCAGCTTCTCTTAATCTCCCCTCAAAAAACACACGGATAACGGCGCACGACGGCCTGTCGGAAGGCTAAATATTTAAAACCGTGTGTCGTTTCTTCACAGGGGTGAGTAAAACGGTCCATCCGTCCCCGATAAAACATAAAACATTTCGTCCGGCAGCTCGGACGTTTCAAAATTGAAGAGCCAACGGACCCGTGAAAGTAAAACCTCGCCCGGTCTAGTTGGTAAAATCAGACTCTTTCGTAAAAAGTAAAGTTAATTAAAATGACATAAGGGGTAAGTGCTGTTATTTTAATCGTGAGCTGTGGAGAGTTCGGTGATGTGGCGGCTGGTTTATTCTAACTGCGTCGGGGAAAGTCTTCAGATCAGCTCGGTGTAATTTGACGGGGTTTTTATTCTTGTTTTTGTTTTTCGCCTTTTGAGTTTCTGGAGCGCATCAGGAGCGAGTGGGCGAAGTTCCCAGAGGTCCCAATTCTCCTAAATATTGACCTCATCCCCCTGAATATCGTAAGCATTGACTACCAGTGCACTTTCCTGACAGGATCCAGTCCCGTTTGCCTTTTACTAACTAATTACATTGAGATTTAATCTTAGGGCCAACGTATCCATTTCATTTCCAGTGCCATCACTCGTGTGGATGTCCCAGTGCATGCCCTCGGCAAAGGGGGCATTTGTTTTAGCTAAAGTTTGTTGACACGCACTTATAAAGTTATAAAATTGGTTCGG